GGTGGCCGCCCCCGCCCCGGGCCCGCGCTGGGTGGCCGCCTGGCCAGCAGAAGCATCTGACCAGCAGAAGCATCCGACCAGCTCCGTTTTGGGACAGTGAGCGGTAGCCGGTGACAGGGCCATGGGAATCCCTGACAAGCCTCCTGGGCATGAGCGCGGCCGCAGCCTTCCAGCCCGCGTCCCCTCTCCTTGCCGGGTGCTGGGGATAAGGTACGGACCAGGAGTTGCTTTCGGGACAAACAGCAAAGGGACGCTGGCCGCTGTCCCCAGGACACATGTATTTATTATAAGGGCAGGATCACCCACAGCACATTGGGTTTTGGCTCTGAAGGCCCTGGGGTGACGCAGGGGTGAAGCCTGTGCTGGTACCCGGCAAAGTGCTGGCACTGGTGCTGGAAGATGAGAGGTGGCGGAGCATGGCTGGCACAAAGGGACCCGCGTCTCTGCCACCCCTCCGAGCGCCTTGGTGGCTCTCAGTGAGCGGGGAGAAGCCCTGACCTAATTTATTCCGACTTCCCAAGCCTTCGCCACGGCACGGCGGAGGCGGCTGACGGAGCCAGGCAAACATGGAGGCAAGGGGCAGGTTTGGCCGGGGTCAAACCCCACTGCCTGGGCAGAGCCCAGGAGGTGGGAGCATCCTGCATGGTTCCCAGCAAAGTCCCTTGGGGCTCTTCCCAGGGCCTCGGAGGGCTTCGTTACTCTATTAATTGCCATTAATGGCAGCAAACAGGGCAGCAGGCGCCTGCCCGGACCCGGGTTAAACGCCAGTGAGGGAAGGGCTATGCTGGCGCTGCAGGACCTGCCTTGCAAATCACCTGCAACAACATGTGCCATCCTGGTCACTTCTTCACAAAAACGATAGTGCAAAATTAATTAGAATTAATTAATCAGAAAAGGGTAATAAGGGTGATTAAGCACCTGGGGAAAAGAAAAAAAAAATATTCCTGAAGAGCGATTGCAGCGCCAGTGATTACCTTGAAAGGCGGCAAGTGAGCTGGAGCAGGAGAGTGTGCAGGGAAACAAATGGGCTGGAGAAGAGGGTCCGGGGGTTGGTTTCTGTCTCGTCGCACAAGGAATTACCCAGTGACAAGATTGAAACTGGTCAGAGGAAAAGCATTTCCCGGCAGCAGCAACCACGGGGAGGCAGCTGAGCCGAGGAGGGAAGCGGGCGGCTCTGCAGCACGGTGCTGCCACGTTTTTGCAGACTTGGCTTTGCACAAACTGGCCCCAAGGTTGGACCCATCTCCAGCAGAAAGTGGGACCCAATTGGGCGTCCTCGATGGTGGGACCCTTGTCCCCAGCACTGGCCCCTTGCCAGGCTCAGGAGCGTGTCAAGACGAGGAATGCTCAACCGATTTCTTTTTCCTCTCTTAATTTTCAGCCACACTCTGTTGCCTTAATAATAATAATAACAGTATATAATCAAAGGGAACATTTACAAGTGAGGTTGGCCCCCGGTTCAAGGCAACCACTGCAGGTTTCATTGAAACCTGAGGGGCTGACGCAGAGCCCCAGCCCCGGGGAGGGGACAGGAGCACCGTCCCCTCCCGGCCACCGCAAAGGGCCTCGGCGGCAGGGAAGGATAGAGGGGGAGACTGGGGCTCAATGGAAAGGGTCTGCATGAGCCCCAGTGCGGTATGGTGAAAAAAAAAAGGAGAAAAATGTCTTTTTTGGGAAGCAGGGAGAGCAAATACTGCAGGGTCCCGTGGGAAATAGGTGGTATGGATGGGATGAGGATGCCCCATGGCCTGCTTGAAAATGCAGGTGATGACCAGAGCGATGCAACGGCCGCTGGTGGCTTCAGCGAGGGGAAAACTGGTGGGTTTTGGTCATTAAGGTGCCTGTGCATGGGGAACGAGCTCAGCCCCATGCACCTCCCCAAATACCACCCCATCCCGGGAGCAGCCAGGCGCTGCTGCCCCGTGCTCAGTGTCCCCTCCTCGGTGACAGATAGCCTCATTTCCTTAAAATCTGGAAAGCAAAATGGGGCAAAAGCAGTTCTTTCTGTGCTTAGAGATGCTCTCACTGCATCCCCAAGTCCGCAGCCGACTAAACATGCGCTCCCAGCCCCTGCCATCAGCCCCCGCCTCGGGTCGCTGCCGCCCCCAGCACGCTTGGGCCCTTTTGCAGGGACTCGGGGGACCTGGGTGCCCAAAAGCTGTCCTGGGGTGCCAGCTGCTTGCCCAAAAGTAGGGTCTCCCTTCGCTTTCCACATCGGCACCGTGGAAGCACAGCAAGGGGCTCTGGCTCCGAGGCCGCATCCTGGTTGTGCCATGGATTTTTGGATGGCCATGGGGTGAGCAGCTCTGTTTTGGGGACAGCAAGTCCTTGCTGAGGCCATTAGGACATTTTGGGGTGTAAGTGGGTGCTGGCCGAGTGGGAATGGGCCCCGCTCCCCCTGTGCCCGTGCAGTGTTGTCCCTGTTGCCGCTACCTTCTGACCGCTTTGGGTGATTTCAAGCAGATTTTGTTCCTACAGGTTTTGTGCAAGTCGGTGTCCGGGGGAAGCCAAGGGAGGGGCTGGTGCCCTGCTGAGGGAAGGACTCACCCCATATTAGACACCAGAGAATCCACACCGGCCTCCTTTCCCCAGGGACAAGGCTGCAGCCAACCCAGTTTTGTCACTGTCCCCACAGTGATCCCCTTGGGAAAGCCTCGGGCACCGCAGGTCCCCATCCATGGGAGTCGGGGGGGGTGAACCCGGTCCGGCTGGGGCGGGGGTACGGAGGGCAGGCTGCGGGGTGGGATGTTCGCCCTTGACCGCAGACCGGGGGGGGGCAGGAGGGAGCTTCCCCAAAGGGGAGAGGGTCTCGGCTGCAGCCCGGGTGGCCGGGGTGCGATGCGGAGGGGGCTACAGCTGCGATGAGCCTTGTCGGGCCTCAGCTCCCCGGCAGAACAGAGCGGGGCAAGGCAAAGCCGGGGCCACGGGAGGGTGAGGGTCCGGTGCCCCCGCCGGGCCGCGGGGTTGGGGGGAGGCGGGTGCCCGG